CAAAAAATGAAAAATACCCTTTGGTCTACAATATTTAGATGAATTCTGTATTGAATTTTAACGCTTGTTCAGAATTTTGCTTCAATTTTTTTTAGTAAATCAAGAATAATTTCCGACAAGATTAAATTACATCTATTTTTAGAAGTTAACTTCGACCGTATTCTTTTCCTTGTATAATAATAATAAACCAATGATGTTTGAGCGAAAAAATAAGTTACTAATCGTTGACTAATAACTTTACGTACTTCAGACTGAAGGTAAACATTGAAAATAAGTATTATTGTCTGTACTTTATAACCAATTATCATGTGAAGAATTCAGTAAAACTAAGCAAAATATCTTAGTTGGATCGTATTAACTAAAAATAAAATCTTGGACGCTACATTTAGTTAGAGTCATTCAAGACGAGCTGACTTCTGTGTACGGATTACTGTACCTAAAGTCGATTTCTATACCGGAACCAATGACGGCTGCTATCAAAAGAAAGGTCACGGACGAACGAGTGTGTTAGCGAGGTAGCTCATTTGCATTGTCGGTCCCTTTGAGGTCTTAAAAATTATAATAATTGTAAAATGATTATATGACAAAGCGGATATTTTTCGGCTATCAGTCACGAACAAACTTCGCCCACTAGAAAAATAAGGAAAATAAAGATGTACAACACCGTACCGCTGCTGTGTAAGATATATTTTATAAGACTAGCTTACGGTAAGCGCAACGGGAAGTCGTGAGTGAAACAAACGCAAAGAGGATGGCTACTGGCAAAAAAATACGTTACTGGAGTATGCACTTAAAACAAACGCAATGATAACTACGTGTCAGGAAACAAGTGATATCTCATTATCAATTCTAAATATTATTAGCCTCTTATCCGATGTATTGTCGAAGATGAATTCTGTTTCGTCCATCGTATAGCTAGTTTCTTTGGAGGGCGGTGGCTGATGCCCAGAGGTGTTCGTATTCAAGAAGTTAAAACAAAGATCGACAAGCTCGTATACAACCGTTCCTTTTTTTACCACCTTACCATCTCAGTAAAAAGCACCAACAACTCTATAAATATCATTTGACGTAAACATATTTTAAAATTGATTTATTCGGAAAACAATTTCACACGATTAAAAATATTATACCACGTAATTGACTCCAAATAATAGTCGGGACAAAACATTTGTTTTATTGGCCACCAAAACCTCAGCGGTATTTTCTGTTTAGCCATACCTAATTCATTATACAATCAATTTGAATTTTTTTTAATAGGATAAGACCTGGCCAACTGATTATAAGGAAAGGTATCCTANTCTGGCCAACTGATTATAAGGAAAAGGTATCTATGTAAAACTATTAAAAACGTTTTTCTTATCCGTTATTATATTAAACACATATTAGCTGCGCAACTTTCTCAGAAGTAAAACAACTCCATAATCATATTAATGAATTCCGTTTGCATTCTACAAGAAAATTTGTGTCATTTTACCCGTCCTTACTAAAGTTAAGTGTAAAATTTCTATATATAAGTACAGTGTTGCACTTCACACGACTTCTATTCAACTTACGTGACAAGTGAATAAAAAATTGATTAGTTATTTTATTTATCGGTTTATAATATAATAATCGCGAGCTGTTACCATTTTAGATTTAACAATATATTATGTCACCTTTGCTTAGACAGCTGTCATAAACAAAACAGTAGATTTCCTTCGTTAAAAACCATATATATTTAAGAAACCGTTGCAAAACTACATACAAAAATTACTAACTACAAACTCGCCGTTCAGTTGTCACACTGGAAAAACACTTTTATTGTCAATTAACTTAGTCAATGGCTGTTTAAACTCGTCTATATAAGTATACTAGCTCATTAATTTCGTCTCAAAGTATCACCAGGGAGGTCTACTGTAGTACAAAGTTTTTATTTGAACAAGAATATACAACAATAGGTTAGAATAGTGTCCACTTCTCAAAAAAAGTCTAGACATCGGTCGTGATTGGGATTTGCTTACCGTAATGCATAATGGATTACATAACATTCTCATGTTCATAGATCGAACTATAAAGTCATTAAATTGCTGAAGTGTTTGTATATGTATTTTTTACTTCGCCAGACAGTCGAGTTAGCGGCATAAGAAGGAAATGTATCTATGAAAAAATAACGATAGTGGTAGTGCACTAAGTCCGTGTAGACTACAGACAGGCGTAAATTGATTAACCGATGACATTATGATCGGCTTTGTGCAGAATCGCATGTGGTGCGGCGAAGATATGTGTGTGCATAACTCAAACGAATATGTGATGTGTGTTTACTAGCAGTTTTAACTATATCCAATATAGCTTCTTTTTTTATTATTTATTTACGTCGCGAAAGAAATCTATTAAGCGCAAATACAACTTCTGTACCGAGTTAATCTTTTACAATTGCTCATGAAGACGTCAAGTCGGTAGCCGATGGACATCACTGTGTTTGGCGAATGTACTTGTACAGCGGAGGCGTAATTGCACTGGCAACTGGCAATTAGACCAGCACCTAATGCTTCGGTTTAATAGAATTCACTTATGTAAACATAAGTAGTCGCGTAGTTACTGACCTTTGTAAGTATCTTGTACCATCGCCATACAATTGCATCTTCGACAATTAATATTATTAATATGATGATTAATTGTTATTGGTCTTTGAACAAGCCGACTACGCAAAAGCAATTGATAATATTCGATATACAAGCAACGCGTCTTAGTATTGATTTNATTGATAATATTCGTTATACAAGCAACGCGTCTTAGTATTGATTTTTTTCATTGGACTCTTTAATTTTCTTATTAGAGCGCAAATATCTTCGGTTATTTCTTTGAAATGGAGCGTGCCAAAACATGTTTCCAAAATGTTTCATTTTACATAACACATTTTTGACATACTACACATTTGAGGTCTCCTAGCATAAAAAAAAAATTTAGACGTTTTTTTTTTATAGCTTTGCATTTATAATCATACAATCATTACTTGTAGACACTATATGTACATATAGTGGCAATGTTGAAAAAAAATTGTTCAAAAATCCTGTTGTGTGTGTATACTCGTGATGCTTTAGAAATTTGTACATTTCATACGTGACACGTTTATATTTGTTTCTAATGAGTGGTTATGTCTAGGCACAAGGACCTGAAGTATAAACGGAACGTTGTTGTAATGTTTAGCGTTTACAAGTGAACGTGAAATTCTCGTGTAATTCGTGTACATCGTCGGCTGTCACAAACAATTTTTAAATATACTCACAAATCACGTGACATGTATTTTTATTAGCGAGGCAACACAAAACGATTAATTGTTATGTATGGTGTATGTCCATATAAACGATCCAGATCTTTCGGAAATCATTGGACATCACATGTTTAATACCGTTTATTCGTGACAAGACACATTAGCTGCTTATAAGAGTTCAGCTCGATAGTTCTTAGCTTTTATTTTTCCACTCTTATATGACTTTTCAATATAAATTCTGATTAAATNATTTTTCCACTCTTATATTACTTTTCAATATAAATTCTGATTAAATCATATCGCTTCTTATTACTTTCATTCAGAACAAACCACTTCAAACGTTTTTTACTTGAGCTTTATATGTAACCAATAAAACTTAAATAGACGGAGAAAATAATTGTTAGATAGATCCAAGGAATAGCAAAAATCTCCAATATCTTCTACGTGTATGTCATTGAACTTATAATACCTTTATTATCACTAATTATAAAAGGAGTATTTAAACATGAAAAAGTCATATCCGCGAGCGGGGTTGGCGGAGTTATACAGTGTATGCTTTGTTAGCTAAAAAGTACAATTAAAGCTAGTTCAAAAATTCAAAGACTTTTTTCTTAACTTAAAGGAGGTAAAATATTGAAAATAATTTTAAATTTATGTTAAATATAAATTAGATTCTTGTAACTTTTATAAAAATCGTTGGTCTCATTAGTTTAACAAACTTTTGTAAGATTCATACCATACCATAATAAACAAACAAAAAGACGTGGACGTTGCATAGCTGGGACAAGTATAAATGATATCTGATAGTGATTAAAATAACCATAAAATGAAACGCTTCAATTCAAATCTGTAAATATTGTTTAAATTTTAGAAATAGGTGGATTATTCCAAAAGGGGAAGAGGTTGTTTGATCAAGTCCAAATTTTTAAAGTATTTGTATTATATATAATACAAATACTTTTTTTTCGGCTACCTTCTGCGTCAGTTTTATTAAAAATCGCTTCTGTTTCAAAATTGTAGAAAGTGATGAAGAAGGGATTTGAAAACTAATCGCTACATCTTTTGTCTTTTTGCCACTTTCGACTGCTTCAAATATTATTTTCTTGTCAGAAATTGACAAACACTCACGTTTAAAACTCATGCTTATAAAAGCGACGAGCGGAATTCCATGCGATCGCTTTTGACACAAAAATCAAATTAAATTAAAACGATAACGTAAAGGTTACAATAACGTTGTAGAGTCATTTATCTTATCGCGTGATAAACGCCGAAACAAACACCGTAATAGCAAACTATTACGACGACATTATCATATGATATTTCGTTACATAGCTTTGGTCAAAAAAACTTCGTTATATCGAGGGGACTAAAATACATGTAATTTTTCGTTATATCACGAGATTTTCAAGGGACCGACAGTTTTATTTGTTATATCGAGATTTTCGTTATAACGAGCTTCGTAATATCGCGAGTTGACTGTATTTATGTTTGATTTTTAAAAATTTCCTAAGAAAAATCATTCGTATAATTTTAGATTACATTTAAATAATAATCTTTAAATAATCATTTCTATGAGATATTGTTCTATAATAAATTATTCCTGATATGTATTTACCTAACTTGTATAGCACTTCATAAATTCATATTTATAATTAACACAAGTATAAAAAAATTATTTCAGCGTATTATTTAAACAAAGAATGAACAACTTAAAATAATCAATTGCTGCATTTGCTTAAAATATTATTATTAAAATGATATAAAAATGTTAGATACTACAATTTATATTTTACATAAAAAATGATGAAGTTCTAATAAAATTTTATTAACTATAAGATATTTGCATTTTAAATTGTGAATTATGTTACCCAAGTTGTTTTATCCTATTTGTTATACTTTTTGGATTCTAACTACAACATTCTTTGTAAGTTGTAGAATAAGGTCAAAAACATATGAGAAATATTATGCAGAAGTTATGGATCATATAAGTGAACAAGATGGATGGGATTTTATGCAGAATTTGGTATTTAAGTCTTCTACAGAAACAAGTTTTAATATTAAAGACATTATTTGCAAAGAGAGTCGCACAATACTACCAAAAAAGTTCGATGCCGTAATTAATTCATTGAATTACATGTACGCAGAAGTCATTAAAACATTTATTGATCATATTAGAGCTATAGCTAACCAATGTCAAGAATATTACGACGTAAACCAGGGAGATCATTTATTACGTTGTATATTTTTACTTCAGAGTGTTATAGAAAATTCGAAAACCATGTTTGAACAGTTATACAATGTAATGAACTATCTTAGCAACATAGATTTTAAATTATTAGCGAAATGGAAAAAAACATACTCTATACCTATAGTAGATGAAATTTATACTTTTGTAGAATATGCATCATTAAAAAGTCAACAAAATACACAGATTTTTGTCAATCCAAACGATCCCAACACTAAAAATGATGCTTGCGAGGTCATTTTAGATGTGAAAAGCTTTATCGAAGGAAAAGGTATCGAGACCTATCAGAAAATTAAACACAAAAATAATTCAGTTGTTTACAATCATACACCAAAGTGCTTACTTGAAAAGAATCTAAAAGACTATAATGCACGACAAAATAAAAACATTGAGTTGAGCTATTATTTATGTGAATGGCTTAACATGTATTACGTTGAAATTTCTACAAATTTATACAAAAATCTTGGTTTTGAAGAAGTTTTAGAATTAAATGAGGCAAGGTAAGAAAATCTATTAGATAACTTTGTAGAGTAATATAGAAAACTTATAAATTGACGTATATAAAAAACATAAAATAGAACCAAATCTATTTTTAAGTATATCTTATTACTTACTAGACGAAAAATAATATTTTATAAATATATTTTTCGTGTTTCCCAATAATTATGGCTACTAAAAGCTATCAACTGTATAATGAATTTATGTACTCACAAATAATTTTATAAATAAATTTAGAAATAATATTTATGTAACCAAATATTTAATTAATGAAAAAGTTTATAAAACTGTTATTAACATTATAAAATTTGCCATAATTCATTTTACTGAATTTCTTTTATATATTTAGGATGAACAAAAAAAATGTATTTTAATAATCGGTTCCTAATAATACATTTGGAATAACTTTTTCTTACAATATATTTAATATTCACAATAGATCATAAAAATGAAATCAATTTTAATCTATAAATTGCTATGGGACATTATTTAAAGGAAAAATTAGAGGAAATATACTTAATAAATCTCACATTATATATTTTTTAGTATTTTCAAACCTCCAATTCATTCATTTGAAAATATTACTCAAAAACTAGTAATTGAACAATTACATAAAATTACTAAAGAAAGTGGATGGAATTCGTTGAAACATATTTATATTATATTTAATGATCAAGTTATAAGCGTAGACCGTATTCTTAGACACCCAGCAGACAAATTAAATTTTCATTGTAAAAAACAACATATATTAAGAGTTATCAAGTGCATTTATACAGAAATACTGTTTAAATATTGTGAATATGTAATTTTCCTATTAGCTTTTTGTAAAACGGAATTTTTAAATCCATATGATGCATTATATATAAATTTTGTGCGGCAAGTTTTTGATGCAGTTCATAAGACAATTCATATATTTGATATAATGTATAAAACATTGGTTTCTTTAAATAAACTAATAGGAGAATATTTTCATGATAACAAGAGTTCAAATGTAACATGTTTGTGTAATTCAATAACAAAATTACTTGAGGAAATAAATTCTGGAAATTATTCACTGGATGTTTTGGAAAGCACATGTGATACCAGTAAACAGAAAATACCACAATTATACGCAACATGCGTAAAAAATATCACTAAATTCCTAAAATATATTTGCTATTTATCGAAAAAAACCCATGAAAAACACTTTCCATTACAAAATGTTGTGTTACTTATTGACATACCTGAGTTAATAAGTACCGACAATTTTTCATCTGCTTGTAACGAACTTATTGTATTTTCTAAAAAATTTATAAAAGTTTACTATGAAGAGTTGGGTTTAAATAAATTAAACTAATAATCAATATTTTTTACGTCTATCTTAATCATATGTATGATGCTACAAACCCAAACCTAACTAGATCTCTGATTCAAAATTTTCGGTGTTATTATCTGGCTATGTTTCGTACGATTTGTATTTTACGCTAAAAGTATGGCTTTAGTATCATTATAGCGATAATATAGTAAACATTTAATTATTAAAATGTGTATAATTCAAAATGGGTCAATTGTAAAATGTCATAGGTATAAGGTTGACAATTGATACTGAGGTCATTTTAATAATATAATAATATATTAATTTTAATTCTATCTTTGGTATCAACAATATTAATAATATTATGTTATTAAGTTTTTGGCTATAATGTGTTACTATAACATAGTAATTATGTAATACTAATTTAATTGTTTTTAAAATATATTTATTAATACCAGGGGCGGGAAACAATATCGCACTTATACAGTGAATATACTCAATAACAATTAAATAGAAAAAATTAAAAAGCCAACCAATTATAAATAACACTAGTCTATGTGATTCAATAATAACTAATCGATAAAAATACCAATAAATATAAATCAATAACAAGAAATGTGACTATTAATAAATACAAAGATTGATTAAAGTCAATAATCAGTTGCAAATCTATATAATACACAACAAAATTATCTATAAAATTTTGGTTTAAAAACTTGCTTTTGTCATCAGTGTGACAATTTAATTAAACTATCCAAGATAGTTCTTTATCTAACATCCAAGAAATGAATAGGATGGGAATGGACGAATAATCTAGTGAACAAGCGCCAAATTCAAGCTCAATTGCGTCGCGAACAAAATTATCAGTTATCATAAGATTTTTGTCATTTGGTCATGACAATTTCTAACTTATGGTACCACTGATTATAGATTCTTTTTTATTTGTATTAAATTTTATTAAAATTGGAAATTAAACCAGATATTATCAAAATTATGGTTTTTAAACCTAGGATAGGAGGTTCGCAGCATAGTGTTGACGTAAAGTTCAAGTATAATGATATCTGACAGTAATTAAAGTCACTATGAAAAAGAACGCTTCGATGCAAATCTTTAGATAGTGTTTTATTTTAAAAAATTAGTAGATTATTCCGAAAAGCTACATAACCTGCTATTTACTTATTTATATCCTGATTAAGAGAAAGTATGTCGATTGAAAAAGGGATATAAATATTATTTCTCATAAAAAATTGTGTTGATTCATACCCTTTTATAAAAAATATAGCATTATAAAGTTAAAAATATAAAATCTAGAATTGTCACACAAAAATAGCATTCTGTAGCCATTTTCATTGTGAAGACAAAATAAAATCCGAAATTTTCTTTTTCCATAATAAATTACATTACATTAGCTTTAATTTAAGATATATATAAAAATGTCAGTATTTCTGGAAAACTTTAAAAAATTAAGTTGAAAAAGTTGTCATTTTAAATCCTCCTGTGGGTTGGTAGAGGATCAAATTTATAAAAAAATATACCAAATGATAGGTAAATACATTAAGCATCTAAAAAAAAAATTATATATTGATTTGTTTATTTTTGAAAAAGTTATGGCAGTTTTAAAAAAAAAATTTCAAAAATTAGCGATTTTTAAATTTGTAATTTTTTTGAAGAATTCACCTTTTACGGGGAACGAGAGAAATTTTTTCAATTTTTGAGGGTAATGTCTTCGACTAGATACGATTTGTGATCTTTTGACGTATCGTTGAAAGAAATCGGATTGGTGAGAGCTGAGATAAATGTTTTCCGAAATAATACTGTTCTAAAAAAATCATTCCTATCATTTAAAATTACTTCAAATAACTATTTTTAAAATATCTTTCCTAAAAGGTTTTATTCTATGATAAATTAATCTGTATAATTTTATTCGTAATAAGTATTTGCCTAATTCGTATTACATTTCATAAATTCAAGTTTATAAATAACACACATGCATAAAATGAATAAACAGCTTAAAATAATCAACTGCTGCGCATTGGCTTAAAATATTATTATTAAAATGATATAAAAATGTTAAGTACTACAATTTATATTACACATAAATAATAAATCAGTTCTAATAAAATTTTACTAACTATAAGATTTTTGCATGTTAAACTGTGAATAATGTTACCAAAGTTATTTTATTTTATTTGTTATACTTTGTGGATTTTAACTTCAAAATGTTTTGTGAGTTGCAAAATAAGGCCAAAAACATATGAAAAATATTATATAGAAGTTATGGATCATATAAGTGAACAAGTTGGATGGGATTTTATGCAGTATTTGGAAGTTGATTATGGCTCTTCTACAGAGATAAGCTCTAATATTAAGAATATTATTTGTAAAGAAAGTAATGTAGCAGTATCAAAAAAGTTTGATGCTATAATTCATTTCTTAAATTATATGTACGCAGAAGTCATCAAAACATTTAATGATCATATTAGCACTATAGCTAACCGATGTCAAGAATATTACGACTTAAACCAGGGAGATAATTTATTAAGTTGTACAGTTTTACTTCAAAGTGCTGTGGAAAATTCAAAAACCATGTTTGAACAGTTATACAATGTAATGAACTATCTTAGCAACATAGATTTTAAATTATTAGCAAAATGGAAAAAAACATTCTCAGTACCTATAGTAGATGAAATTTATACTTTTGTAGAATATGCAACATTAAAAAGTCAACAAAATACACAGATTTTTGTCAATCCAAACGATCCCAACACTAAAAATGTTGCTTGTGAAGTCATTTTAGACGTGAAAACTTTTATCGAAGGAAAAGGTTTCAAGACCTATCAAAAAATTAAAAAGAAAAATAGTTTAGTTTACAATTATAATCCAATATGCTTATTAGAAGATAATTTAAAAAACTATAAAGCACTACAAAATAAAAACATTGAGTTAAGTCAATATTTATGTGAATGGCTTAAAATTTATTATAATGAAATTTCTAAATATTTATACAAAAATCTTGGATTTGAAGAAGTTTTAGAATTAAAAGAGGAAAGGTAAGAAAATCTATTTGAAATCTTTGTAGAGTTAGGGAAAACTGTATATTAACATATATAAATGTTTTAAGTATCTTATTACATAGTAGACGAATAAAACATATTATCTTGGTTTTTTATTTGTGGCTACTTAAAGCTATCAACTGTGTAATGAATTTGTGTACTCAAAATATAATTTTATCAATAATTTAAAAAATATTCGTATATTTATTATACCACATATTTATTTTATGATAATGTTGAAAAAACCGATATTATCCTTATTTAATTTTCTCTAATCCGTTTTTCTGAATTTCTCTTATTTATTTATGATAAACAAAAAAATATTCTGGGTAATTTTTATTTACTGTAATAATAAATTCCTATCATATTTTCAAGATCTCTAAAATCAAACCTTAGGAATAATTTTTTTTTACAATTTACTTGACATTTACAATGGTTCATAAAAATGAATTCAATTTTAATCTATACATTTCTATTAAAACATATTTAACGAATAAACTAGGGGAAGTATACTGAATAAATCATAATTCATATATTTTTTTTAGTTATTTCACACCTCCAGTTCATATGTATAAAAATAATACTCAAAAACAGAGAATCAGACTAATAAACGAAATCACTAAAGAAAGTGGATGGAAATCGTTGAAACCTATTAATATTGTATTTAATGACCAAGTTATAAGCGTAGAGCGTATTCTTAGACACCCAACAGACAAACTTAATTTTCATTGTAAAAAACAACACATATTAAGAGTTATCAAGTGCATTTATACAGAAATACTGTTTAAATATTGCGATTATGTAATTTTCCTATTAGATTTTTGTGAAACGGAATTATTAAATCCATATGATGCATTATATATAAATTTTGTGCGGCAAGTTTTTGATGCAGTTCATAAGACAATTAATATATTTGATATAATGTATAAAACATTGGTTTCTTTAAATATACTCTTAGGAGAATATTTGCATGACAACTGCTATTCGAATATAAAATGTTTATGTAATTCAATAACAAAATTACTCGAGGAAATAAATTCTGGAAATTATTCACTGGATGATTTGGATAGCAAATGTGATCAAACTAAACAGAAAATACCAAAATTATACACAAGAACATACGTTAAAAATATTTCAAAATTTCTTAAATATAACAAAACGACAAACCGTTCTTTATTTAATACGCATGAAAAACAGTTTCCAGTACAAAATTTAGTGTTAAATATTGACATTCCTGAGACAATAAGTACCAACAATTTTTCATCTGCTTGTAACGAACTTATTGTATTTTCTAAAAAATTTATAAATGTTTACTATGAAGAGGTGGGTTTAAATAAATTAAACTAATACAATCATCAATTTTTTTACGTCTATCTTAACCATATGCAAGGTGCTATAAACCCAACCCTAGCTAGATCTCTGATTCAAACTTTTCGGTGTTATTATCTGGCTATGTTTCGTACGATTTGTATTTTACGCTAAAAGTATGGCTTTAGTATCATTATAATTATTAAATTGTGTATAATTCAAAATGGGTCAATTGTAAAATGTCATAGGTATAAGGTTGACAATTGATACTGAGGTCATTTTAATAATATAATAATATATTAATTTTAATAATGAAACAAACCGTGTGGTGTATAAAAAGAAAACAAAAAACATTATTATTATTACCTGCAAGTTTAAATGCAATAATCCAATAATGTAACATTGATGTAACAAATGATTATAATCATTTGTAGAGATTCTAAACAATTTTAGAAACTTAAACAATTTACAATGTAATCTTTGTAGTTAATATAAAAATTTTATATTTTCATAGAACATCAACAAAAAATTTTACTTATATATCTTAACCTATTTTTGTCAATAATACATTTTACACTATTTAAATTTAAAAAAGGCGTTATCAAAATTATGGTTTAAAGACGTCTGTCTTTTCAAGAACCCANGTTTAAAGACGTCTGTCTTTTCAAGTATCTTGATCTTATAAAATACACACACATTATGTAAAATGCGATTCGTCGGTCCAATTGAGACTATTATTTCATTATTTCTAAAACATTTATTAACAGTTTAAATTAATGACGTAAGGATTGAATGCTGCTATTTTTATCTCTAGACATTTTTCGGCCAAACCTCCTATCACCTGTGTTTAAATATGTTAAAAACATTGGAAATATTGATCCAAAATTTGTCCAACCAGTCATATCTTCAGTAAATAATTTAAATGAACCTATAAAATAATCTTGTTAGTTATAATTGTTGATATTTGAAAAATAAAGTTCAAACCGTCATAAGGTATGAGAGATAAAAATTAAAA